GGGGGGGGGGTGAAATTTGTCCCTCCCTTAGTTGTTTTCTGAGGAATGGGATGATGATGATGATAATGATGATGATGATGATGATAATGATGATGATGATGATTTGCCAGGAGATGAAGTTCTGGCACAAGATGTCCAAATACTGTCTTCACCCCAATAGAACGCCCGGTCATTATAGCTGTATTTGGGGCAACTGTATTGTGCATTCTATCTGGGTGAAGACGGTGGGTGCGGGGACAAAAAAAGCAAGTCCGTCATTTGTTCTATGAGGAGGATGACACGATGATGATGATGATGATGATGATGATGATCGTAGGAAAACTGCACGAAAAGGTAGGCTGCCAGCTGCCCTATGACAGGACGTGGTTGTGCTGGCCGAGGTGGCATTGGCCCCTCGTCGCCCCACCTTATCCACCCGCCCACCTCATTTTTTTTTTCCCCTCTATCAATCAATCAATTCCTGATCCAATGGATTGATGCGATTGGATCTTGATTCAATTGATTTGAATCAAGATCTGATGAAATCAATCGAATCGATTGGATTAGGGATTGATTGCTTAATTGATTGATTGATAGAAAGAAATATAGGGCATGGGAGGGGAGAAGACGAGGAGGAGGTGGAGGAAGAAGAAGAAGAAGAGGAGGAGGTGGAGGAGGAGGAAGAAGAAGAGGAGGAGGTGGAGGAGGAGGAAGAAAAAGAAGAAGAGGAGGCGGCCTAAAAGGAGGACAAGGAGGCGTAGGATGAGGCCCAGGATGAGGCCCAGGATGAGGTCTAGGAGGAGGAGACCTAGGAGGAGGACGACGAGGGGGAGGAGGAAAGGATTTTACTTTTTTTTTTTTTAGAAATTCAAATTACCTGAAAAATTACGAGGGTATACCTCACTTCACAAGGAACCCAGGATATTTTTTTTTGAAAAACAAAAAGAATATTTAATGCTTAAAATAAAACGAAACAGGGAAAATAAAAACAGAAAGAGTTCGAAAAACGAAATAGAGACCTGGAGAGCATGTTTTTGACACCGCCATGCTTGGCGATTTTTAGTTCTTCTACTCATGGAAATGACACAAAATTTTGGGCATATATCTTATCTGCGAAACTATCCACAGAAAAAAAGACTAAAAAAAAGAAAAGAAGAAAGGTATTTTTTTGTGGGTTCGGACATAAGGCTATGGACGTTTCTCCCCGGTTGTCCGAGCTGAACACCCTGGACGGTCAGGGGGGTCCCGGACGTCCGATCAGAGGTAACACAGTTAAAGAAAGTTTCAAAAAAGTAGAGACCTATAAACAGTGTTGGACCCGCCGACGGTCGGCAGCCCTTGACTGGTAGGCTTCCGAGCCGCCGACCGATCGGCTGGTCGGCACCAACTGGTCGGGGGTCATCGGCACCCCACACTTTTCTCTTTTTTTTTGTTTTTGGGGTCCAGAACCCCTAATAACCCCACCCACACCCCCATAGCGCCCCCCAATACCCGCATACACCAACCCAACACTCCCGAACCACCCCCAACACCCTTATTAAACCCCCCAATATCCCTTATATCACCCCTGTACTCCCGGTATACTCCAACCCATACCTGCGGCGTATCGCGTGCACGCGATTTCTGCACCTGCGGCGCATAACGCACGTGTAAGCATGCACGCGCATGTGATGCGATGCACCCCAATAAATAGGGTATAAAGAAAACTTTGGAGAAGGCTGGCTGAGGTAGCCAATGGTGCACCTCCCCACAGGAAAAAAAATTGGGCCCACGTATTCCTTGTTGAATAGTCTTTTTCCCGGAGGACCCCAGCAGTGCAAATGTAAGGGTCCCAACATCTGAAGAGACGTTCAGCAAATTTCGTATGAAAGAGAAACAGGCCAGCAATATATGTTTTGGATCCAAAGTCAGGTCTGCTTTCCAGCAGTTATGGGTTACAAGTTACAACTACTTACTACTGTAGCTCTCTTTCTTTTGTTCCGTTCTCCCACGAGCAGTGGCCCTAAGGGCCTTTCTCCACTCGTCACTACTTGCACAAAAGACAAAACACATGGCGGCGTATGGTTCCATGTTCTAGCAGAAGATTCATTCTTCTCATTCCTTTGTTTCCTTTTGCTACGAGCAGTGGCCCTAAGGGCCTTGCTCCACTCGTCACCACTTGCACAAAAGACGAAACATATGGCGGCGTACGATTCCATGTTCTAGCAGAAGATTCATTCTAGTTTTGCACATTTGGTGAGTAGTGTAGGGAAGCCCTGAAAAGCACGTCGTGAGTTGGCCTGCTACTGTTCAGAAACTCGCGTGCTCAGTGGTCCCATAACTGCTGAAACACGGACCTTAATGTGAATCAACAGCATATATACTTGGCGTGCCATTGACTTTAGCATGGATATGACTACTACCTCGTTCATGGCAACGTGGCCCTTGCTGATTGTGTGCAGGGGCCTCTCGGATAACCCGCAGGGGGTTTGAAATAATGCGAAGGAGCTATTTGTTTACATTCTCTCTCTCTCTCTCTCTCTCTCTCTCTCTCTCTCTCTCTCTCTCTCTCTCTCTCTTGCGTGTTCTCACACATACAGCCGTTTTTGTTTTTTGTTTTTTTGTTTTTTTCTGCACATGGGTGCCGCAGGTATGCTCCAACCCCAAAACCCCCTCACACCCCTCCCCCATCCCAAAAAGTTTCTCAGCAGATTTGGGCCCTACTGGGCAAGCGCAGTACATCCCCCAACTCAGATTTGAAAAAAAATCAGTGGATGGTCGTTTTCTGACTGGTCGGCAGACCTCCGACCGGACGCCCCTACTGGTTGGCGGTCGGGGTCGGCGGTCGGCAGGGGTGCAACCATGCCTACAAATCTATAATTAACTTGAGAAAGAGCATGGGCTGCGACGGATATCTCTCAAAAAATCTATCCGTGGGGTCTGCAGATTGTGTGTCTGCCTTACACCAAGATAAAAGAAAAAGGGAAAAAAAAACAATAACAACAACATAGGCATTCTCCTCTGCCTATTCCCTGAACTTCCCTCTCATTCATGCCCTGTAAATCAAGCACCCCTCAATATCCTCTTGGAACCCTCCGTCCCCCCCACCCCCACCCCCCCTACCCCCAAATCAAATTAGCCATCCTGTGCTTTGCCAACCTGAAGACGTTCACGCTGTGACTTGTGCAGTCCACCTCCATGTTGTCTGCACGTGCATGTCCGGTCATTGTGTCCTCCACATTTGGATTGCCCAGACAGTCCGGTTCGCTGCTACTGTAAAAACTAGACACGTCTTTGTCCCATATACCGTTGCAAACTCAAGAAACCTTCTTTCCTCCCTCCCTCTCTCCCTCTCTCTCTCTCTCTCTCTCTCTCTCTCTCTCTCTGTTGTCACGTTCACTATATGCAAATCCACAAGAAAAGCATGACTGTGCCAGACTGTTTCAATCGGATTTTCACCGACTCATCTGTGTGTGTGTGTGTGTGTGTGTGTGTGTGTGTGTGTGTGCGCGCGTGCGTGCGTGTATGTGTTGTGTATGTGTGCTTGTTTGAGGTGTGTGTGTGTGTGTGTGTCTGTGTGTGTGTGTGTGTGTGTGCGTGCGTGTGTGTGTGTGTGTGTGTGTGTGTGTGTGTGTTGGTCCTGTGAATGCAGGTGGGTCAAAGAAGAAGAAGAAGAATCGAAGCAGGTGATTTCTTTGCAGGTTCATTTCTACTCGGAATGGAATTCTCGTCGTCATCGGAGTGTTTGTGTGTAGACCACCAGTGTGGACGAAAGATGGACAATTTCAGCAAATGCCTATCTCGAGGATAATGTGCCCCATAGCCTCCATTAAAATTTTTGGTGTGCAGAGGGTCGAGGCTCACTGAAACAAAGGAGAAGGCAGGTGAAGGAAAGGATATCACACTGTTAGATTGCTGGCTTGTTTTGCTGACTGTTTCAGAGAGTTGGCCTTTCACCAACTGGTGATGATCCATGCCAGAGCCCTCAGGCCAGGGTTTGCCAAAACGGGCCCAAGATGAGCCAAACCAGGTGAAACGGGCCAAAAGGGGGAGAAAGGGGGTGCCAAAATGGGCCAAAATGTGGCAAAGCAGGGCCAGAATGGGACCAAAATGGGACAGAAAACAGGGCTTAATAGGTCCAAAACACCGTCAGAATGGTATCTAAACATGTGAAACGAGTACTCGTGAGTCGTGACCTTCATATGGCTGGTTGGATCTGCCATGGCCCGTTGAGGACCGTCAGTTGAGGTGGGTGAGGTGTGGTTGCTGGTCACAGTGGAGGGATGGGAGAGGAATTAATGAACCATGGGGTGTTCTGGCACCCATTTTGAGCTACCGTCTTCACCCGAATAGAACGCCCGGTCATTATAACTGTATTTTGTGCAACTTTCAGTCCAGATACGGCAATAATTACCGGGTGTTCTATTCTGGTGAAGACGGTAGGGAGTTTGCTCTCTAAACGTGCGTACTGATGGTGCCGTTTCCTATCTTTTTCCCCCAAATACACCCCCCCCGTCTCTCTGTCTGGCCTGAAAGTCTTGCCAAATACCAGCCATAATGACCGGTTGTTGTCTTCAGGGAATAGTGTAGTCTATGCTGGGCCCACATGAACCTGGTCTGTTTTTCCATCAGGTTCAGAAGACTTCTATGATTCAGCAAGAATAAGGTTCAGGAGACTGATGTGGCTGAGGAGGCAAACCGGACTTCGGAATGATGAGCACGTTGCTCCCAACTGTTTTGGACGACGCATTACATCTGTATTTAGCGCCGGATACGAAGGCTTAGGCTACCAGTACTTCCAAGCCTCATCGATGTCTGCCATACACCGGCCTTTGCCTGACGAGCGTTGGGTTTTCACAAATAGATGAGAACAGTACTGGTGGTGTAATTAGCACTAGCCTTCAGGGCTATAAGAAATGTGGGTCGTTTTCTGGTGTGCTTACGTGATTTGCTTTTGCTTTTGGTTTTGATCGAAGTGCATGTCATAGGCAGTGGAAAATTGTGACGGCTTTTCATCTCTTAGAAGAGTCCTAAACTGTCCTTCGGGACATCCGTTGAACCCCCAGTACATGCCAGCTATCGGCCGCGGGCCGCTTCTTTCGGAGGCCGCCCGCCGTCGATTCATTTTATCTACGGCGCTCGGCCTCCTACATTTTCGGAGAGGCTCAAAACAGCTTCTCCAGTTGCCTGGAGCCATGTACTGGTGGTTTAAAATTGGAACGATACCCAAGAGCCTAGCTCAGTGGGTACACCCATGAACTGTTGAAATACAGACCTGTGTTCGAATCCATACGATGGAACTCGATGAGTAAAACTAAGGTCTAATGAATTGCTTGGGGCCGGTCAGCTCAATGATAATATCTCAAGGCTGTCGCCCTTCGAAAATAAATAAATAAATAAATAAATAAATAAATAAATAAATAAATAAATAAATAAATAAATAAATAAATAAATAAATTATTGGAACGATACAGAGAAAGAAGCTTAGCATGGCCCCTGCACAAGGATGACACACACATAAATAGAGAAATGGTCCAAATTTACAAAAAAGAAACTTAAGAAAAGAAAAAGAGAAAGAAAAAAGAATAGTTCTAAACTGCCAGTTTGTGTGCGGTTGACCCCCTCAGAAGACAAGCAGGCAGTGTTTTCGATGTACGGGCCTACCGTCTTCACCCGAATAGAACGCCCGGTCATTATAACCGTATCTGGTACAATTCCGAGTCCAGACACAGCTATAATGACCGGGCGATCTATTCGGGTGAAGACTGTAGTGGCAACCTGTTCGATCCACTCGGGAGCGGAAAATGTCAGTATGTCAGAACAGGTGCCTCATTCCCAGAGGTATAGGAAGCAGCCTATGGCCTGTTCTGACATACTGACATTTTCAGTATTATCAGTATTGTCAGGTCAGTCATGGCCACAGGTTTATGTTTTTTGTGGGTCACAGCCTATGGGGTATTGATTAACTGCACTTTGAGAATTCATTAGTAGAGGAAATGCAATTCATTAGTAGAGGAAAAGCCAAGTGCCCTTTCGGGTGGTGAGGAGGTATGGATCATGGAATCAGCTATTGTCTTCTGCTGGATAGAACAACCTATGGTCATTATCGCTGTATCAGTGTATTTTTGGACAGAAGTTTGTCCAAGTACAGCTATAATGACTCTACGCCGAGTCTACGTTATATTTGGGGAAAGAGCGTACCTGCATGTCCACATTATGTTTCTCTTCCATTAAGTCTGGCTGTGATCATGCAAATGAGCTACCGTCTTCACCTGGATAGAAGAATGCCAGGTCATTATAGCTGTATCTGGGGCAAGTTTGAGGCCAGATACACGGATAATGATCGGGCATTTTATTTGGGTGAAGACTGCAGCTGTGTGTGCAGGTATGTTCCGACAACGACAACTTGCACGTCTTCGTGAAATACCGGTTGGCTGTATTATGTGGCAAGTCCATGAGTTGTCCGCTTTCTGACATAATTTTTTGGAATAGCTTCGGTTCGATTCAAGCCCTTCGAAGACACAAGGCTCTCTTTGTGGAGGTTGACGAACGGACAAGGAACAGAATGACTCTCTCTCTTGTGGGTGACCTGTGGGAATCTAACAATGGCTCTTATTGATTTCTCTGTTCTCTGAATTGTGAATAAAACAGCAGGAAGAAGAAGGTGCTGGAGCAAACAGATCCCCCGTCCATCCCAGTCTCCAAACTTTTCCCTGATGGAATCTATCCTGTGTGGGAAGAACAGAATTACAACGATGAGTACGTTTTCGTTTATTCCCATCCCCCTCTCTCTCTCTCTCTCCCCATGCACACACACGCACACCCGTTCCTCCTTCCTGCCTCTCCTTGCTGCGTCTCTCTCTCCCCCTCTCTGTCTCACTGTCTCTCTCTCTCTCTCTCTCTCTCTCTCTCTCTCTCTCTCTCTCTCTCTCTCTCCCACCCCACCTGTTCCTCCTCCCTGCCTTGCCTGTCCACTTCTTTCCCTCTGGTTGATCTTCACTTTTCATGTCGAACCCGTAATCAACCCTGTTTTCTGTACATGTTACACATTTGTGTAGATGGTATCTGGTTGAGATGAAAAGACACCTACCCTATTGGGGGGGGGGGGGGCAGCGAAACCCCGTTACGTGTCACTGCTCTTTAATGCTTACACGTCAGGACGTCAGTGTGAGGAACAACGCGCTGACGTGTCAGCGGTTTTTCTCACTTTTCTGTGCAGGAGGTCGTGGGTTCAACCTGCGGCAACCTCAACACAATCCATGCCAATCTTCTCTTGATCGGTCCAATTCTTAACCTTCTCGAGGCAGCCGATTTCTGGGCACTGCCAGAAGTCTGGATGAGTTGTGGTATCTGTCAGGAATGCCCTGCCATGTCCAGACCCAATTGACTGATTGCCCTGGAATGGTTATGGTGCTCTGTTTTGTCAAAGCTCAGTCGTTTTCTGGCCCCTGATCAGGTAGATATCAGGTGGGATCTATGTCAGACCCGGTCAGGAGGTTGTAATTTGATTAACCATCGTTGTTGCAAAGACTGTCTTTTGGCCAGATAAATGTTAGTGTTGTTCCTTTGCCAGGAGTCAGTCTTTTGTTTGATTGATTGATTGATTGATTGATTGATTGATTGATTGGCTTGATTGATTGATTGATTGATTGGCTTGATTGATTGATTGATTGATTGATTTGCTGCTTTTGGTACGAGTACCAAAACAATGCTCTATAGCTAAGTGGGCTGCGGGGATGCACTGCGTGCCGATCTCTTGCTTATCGCAGCCTGTGGGCCTTCCGATCTGGCCCTGATTGCCCTAGAACTAGATTTCCAGCGGAATGCCATCGCTCAAGTGATTGCCGTGTAGTGTTTGTTATTTTGCTCTCCTTTCTTTGCAGCGATCTGGACGTCCGAGGTTTGGTTTTGCTATCGAACTGGCTGGCCATACTTCGAGGCAATGCATTCTTCGCTCCGTCGATCGTTCCATCGATCGTTCCATCGTGTCGATCATCGTCTGCGGGCTTCGGCATCGAACTGGCATGTCCCTGATGTTCGGCACGTTCTTGAATCGCGAATGTCAGATGCCAATCATCGCCTGAAGGCTTCTGACACCGCTGTCATCCCTGATGTCGATCATCGCGTGAAGGCTTCTGACATCGCTGTCAACCTGCATGCACGGAGAGACAAAAAGAATGGCTAATGCGTCCCTGCTAGACGCCGACGAGAGGGGGTAAGCCGTGGGCAGCGCGCACTCAGAGGAGCGTGCGGGAAAACAAAGGTCGATGAGGGTACCTCAAACCGGTGACATTTTTTCTCTTTGTTTCCAGAAGCGACGGGAACACCAGCTGCTGTAGCTGAATCGTAGATCCGTACGAGTGATCAACGGCCTTGCAGTCTTTTCTCACCTTATACTTCCTCGGTACGACTACTACCCCTGGTTGCATGATCACCAATACTGCTCATTATGCCAACTTGTAACTGCGCTGCCCCTTACTCTCATTGTCTGTTGTTTATACGTGTACATCCCATCGCATAAGAAAGTATACCTTCCACTGCCATACTGCTGTTCCAAACGACTGGCCAGCGTTTGCACCCTCTGATTAGAATGTCACTCCTGCCCCTTTTTCACACGGGCAGCATCGCGCAGGCTCTTCTTGTAGGGTGACATTCTAGCTACTCGCGCAGGCTCTTCTTGAAGGGTGACATTCTAACTCAGCAGGAGCAAGAACCTGGTCTTGTTGATGAGCTGATCACTTTTCTTTTGGGTCTTTTGACCAGCTGTTGATTTGACAAGTGGCGAAACAGCGACTGATGGGTGTGTTAAGTATCGGCAGCTGGTCGTGGTTTTGCCAACTCTTTGATGGGTCTGCTGGGATGTCTTAGTGATGATGATCTGTATGATGATGATGATCTGTTATCACAACAAGGAGTAACTGATTGTGCGGACTCGGTAATGACTTGTGGCTCTCACTGATTGTCTACTTGTCAACAGCAACCTCTGGAGGCTAACATCTGCAGAGAAGCGAGAGCAGGAACGGTTAGAGAGTTCGCTATACAATGATGTGAGAAAGGCAGCGGAAGTTCACCGACAGGTATTGTGAAATGTGTGTGTGTGTGTGTGTGCTGTCTCTTATACACATCTAGATGTGTATAAGAGACAGGGTGGGGCCGGGCCTTTGATCTTTGCACCCGCTTGTTCCTGGGCCGGCCA